ATTGTTTATTCTATTGTTAGTATTGTTATTGTAATTATTCTATTGTATTAAACTTAATATTTCATGTGGTAAAAGTTTTTTTTTTCATACTTTTGGGTGTCTTGCACGGATTAATTTGATTTCCATTATTTCTTATGGGGAAAATTGATTCGCTTTCCGATAATTTTGGTTTACGATGAGCTCTCAGGAACGGATTAATATCGTGAGCCGGGGGTCCACTGTATAAGCTAACCACATTCAGTTTAAGATCTTTATTAAAAAGGTGTGTAGGTTTTAACAATTAAAGTTAATATATTTGGTATAATTGAAGAGATAAGTTCCTAGACCTCTTCCAGGGGGGGGCTCCTTGTAGTGGTGAAGAGGCTGTTGGTCTGAGGAATTGGACCTTTTGGTCTTCTAAACCTAATGACCCCCCCAGTCCTCCCTTCCCTATCCCATCCTCCACATTCCCCCTTTTTTACCCTTTCCTCACCCCTCCCAACTCCTTCCCCCCTCCCAACCCCCTCCCAACCCTTCAGATAATGGGTGTATCTCCAGAAGCTGCCTGTCGATTCTGGGGGGTGGCAGCCAAAGGAGGTATGTTTTGTGGCAGGTTTCCAACCGCCCTTTCTTTTGTCTGCCGAGGTGGCTCAGTAGATGTGGGACTGCTATCCCGGAGCACTGGTTTACTGGCGTGAAGGGTAGGGTATGGCACAGGTTCCATGCTGCATCTTCACTGCCTGTGGTCTCGAGGCCCTCTCGGATGAGGAGATGAACTTCTGGCCCTTGCATGCCTCCTAGTGACTGTCCCTCTGCTGTCGCCCTTTTTTTCTTTCCATCTTTCTTTATTTTCTTAAAATGACATGAAAGGAGATAACACAGAAGAAGTATCTTTATTATGGAGTCTTCACTCAGTGAAACCCTTCCTCCTCCCAGGCCCCTTTCTGATCCCACACCCTGTTCTGACCCGGCTTCATTATTGGAACATTCTCAAGACTCTTCTCATACCCCTGTACCTTCTGCCGGTGACACTCTGTCACCTGCTCCAGGTGTTGAGGCACCATCCATTTCTGCTCATGCCGCTGCTTCTTGCACGCCTATAACAATGTGTCCAGCTTCCTCAAATATGGTACGATGGTTTTTGGGTCGCTCACCTCCCTCAGGTCAGACCGCCCGTGGTACTACTCCTAAATGCTCAAGACAACCTACTGACGACAGTTCATCGAATTTGCTCATAAGCGACCTACACGACACTCACTACCTTTGCGTACCCGGCTTACAAGTAAGCAATGGACTAAATTCTTTTTCTTACAAACAACGTCTCAAGCTGATTATCTTCTGGATCATGGAATTGGTAAAGCTCTTTTACGCACGTTGGCCATAATATATCCTTCCACGCTCTTCGAAACGGTGCGTGTGTTGTAACAGTACAGAATTCATAATAAGCTCATGCTCTCTCCTGTATAACTTCCATAGATAACATACCAGTCACCGTTTGTAAACACGCTACGCTCAATTCTTGCAGTGGTACTGTGGTCTTACCACGTACCATTGTACAGAGTGATCTTTTCTCTTGCGGCGATGATATTTTTGAACAATTAGCCCTTCAGGAACTTCCTGTTCGTAAGGTAGATACATATATCCTGCCCTCTCATGAGCGGGAGTGCTTTTCTAGTAACATAGCCCGCTTAACCTTCGAATGCTGTGAACTTGTCCTCTGACTATATTGCAGGCCATCGCCTAGAGGTCCATAAAGTATTCCCCTCTTCTCAACAGTGTCGTAATTGCTGGCATTTTGGACACCCTGCTAAATAATGCAAATTTGCAGCGGAGCAGCAGATCATTCCGATACGTCTTGTAGTTTTCCCCCCTCTTGTCTCAACTGTAATGAATCTCATCCTTCTTTTTCACGCCATTGTCAAGTCTGTCATAATGATTCGTTATCTCAAGGAGAGTGAGGGCCTTACTTACGCTATGGCTGTCTCTCAGCTCCGCCTTCAGGGAAAACTTCCTCGTGTCCCTTATGCTCGAGTAGCCCGAAGACCTCCAACCTCGACGGTGTGACTCTCGTGGTGATCAGTTGGAGACTTTTCTCGCTTCTCATCCTCTTAATGTTCTAAATACGGTTGCTCCTACCAATTTTGATTTTCACACTCAGTCTCTTTCCTGCATTAATCTTTCTATCTGTTCCTTCCCAGTTGCATTTGATTTCTCTTGATTTATTCTTCCAGATTTACATGACAGTGATCACTTTCCTATTCTTCTTACTTTTACATATGCTTGACTGATTCGTAGCCCTCGTTGGTAATTTGCATGGTTGTGAGGACCCTCTTTAGTCCTCTATTGATGAACTGGCATACCAATTTTCGAACTTAGTTTTAACTGTGGTGGCACGTTCTATCCCCCAAACTTCAGGTAGGCATTCTCAGACATGTGTACCTTGGTGGTCTCCTGCATGCGTACATGCAGTGCGTTTGAAACATGCGGCATGGGACCGTTATCGATATAATCGTACCTCACAGCGTTTGTTGGATTTTAAGCGAGCAAGGGCAGTTGCTCACCGCATCATAGACGACGCTAAACGCTGGCGAGACTACGTGTCTACCATTACCTCGTCTTCCCCTATGTGTGCGATTTGGAAAAAGTTGTGTTGGCAAGTACACTCCGGACTCAGCTCCCGTTTTATGGGTTGCTGGAGTTAACGTCGAAAGAACCTCTAGAATTTGCCATGGAAATCGGGAACTATCTTGTCCATATCTCCCAAGGGCTTCACCTTTGTCCCTCATTTCTTGCAACTAAGTCTGCCATCGGCAACAGGACCTGATGATATCCATATCGGTATGCTACATCTCTATTCTACGGCCCTTCCAGTTCTTTTAAGTCTGTTCAATCTTATTTGGGAGCGAAGGGTTCTCCCTCAACAATGGAAATCTGCTATTGTACTACCGTTTCGCAAACTGGGCAACTCGGAGCTTGATACCTCTCACTATCGTCCCATTGCCTTGACCAGTGTAGTCTGCAAGGTGATGGAACGATTGGTAAATTGACGTCTGGTGTGGTTCTTGGAGACTCACAATAGTCTTTCCCTTCGTCAATATGGCTTTTGAAAGGGCCACTCTAATTTAATCCCCATGCTTCACTTAGATACGTACATTCGAAATGCCTCTGCTAACAAACACTCCGTCCTAGCTGTCTTTTTTGATCTAGAGAAGGCATATGACACCACTTAGAGGTATAACATTTTCGCCCAAGCCCACTCCTTAGGCCTCCTAGGTAATCTACCAAACTTCCTTGCTGCTTTCTTATCCGACAGACATTTTTGGGTCCGTGTTGGCGCCTCGATTTCCTCAGACTTTGTACAAGCTGAGGGAGTCCCACAAGGCTGTGTCCTTAGCACTACCCTTTTTCTCTTAGCTATAAATGACCTACCTTCCGTTCTTCCTTCACATATTTGGTCGTCACATTATGTGGATGACTTCGCTATAGCTTACCCGCCTAGTAGCAGCCTCCCTTCAGGATGTGATTGACCGAGTTTCCCATTGGACCACTTCGCATGGCTTTAAATTTTCTAGTACGAAAACCCGATTCATTACCTTCACTAGACGTCCGCTTATCACAGATACTCCATTGTACTTGCATGGTTCACGTACTCCGGCATGTGATATGGTCAAGTTTCTTGGCCTGCTCTTTGATCGCCGGTTGTCATGGAGCCCTCACATGGGAAGCAGATCGTCGCACTCTCTTCTGTTTTGAATTTCACTCTAGTCTTGTCCAAGCTGGATTATGGTGACCAAGTCTATTCTGCGGCCTCTCCTGCAACTCTTTCTAAGTTAGATCCCATTCATCATCAAGGTCTCCGTTTATGCCTTGATGCCTTTCGTTCATCCCCTGTTGAAAGCCTCTATGCTGAAGCGAATGTTCAATCCTTAGCTGATCGTCGTGATGCTCACTGTCTTCCTTATTTTGTCAGCGCTCATGATCTTCGTGTTCCTTCTACGTATAGGTTAGTCTCAGACATTAGTAGGAACCCACTGTTTGTTCGACGCCCCTGCCTACCCCGATCATTTTCTCGTCGCCTTCACTCACTCCGGTCTTCTCTCCAGTTGCCCTCCTTGTACGTTCATTTAGTGTCTGCCTTTTCCCTTCATCCATGGGAAGTTCCGATGGTTCATGTCTGTTCTCCCCCACTACCGTACGCCGAAGCTTTCTTACCTACACCTGCTACTCGCTCTCTTTTACTCGAGCACTTTCGGTCACATGCTCATGCCACTGCTGTTTGTACAGATGGTTCTAAATCATCTGATGGTGTGGGGTTCACGGCAGCATTCCTTGACGAAGTTGTCCGAGGCCACTTGTTAGACTCAGCTAGTATTTTTACTGATGCGTTGTTTTACAAGCCATTAAACAATTTGATTCTCCTCATCCATTAGTCCTTCGTAATCAGCAATGGTTGCGCCGTGTGGCTAGCAAACACAAAGATATCGTTTTCTGCTGGGTTCCTGGACACGTTGGTGTGCAAGGTAATGAGCAACCAGATGCTGCTGTGCGGTCAGCAGTACATGATCTTCCGGTTTCTTATATGGGTAATCCGTTCAGGATTACCCATATAAGAAACCCATCTCCGCAGCCGTTGGCAACAATGGTGGTCAGGCATGCAATGTAACAAATATATATATATATATATATATATATATATATATATTTATATATATATATATATATATATATATATATATATATATATATTATTATATATATATACTTTATGTTAAGTAATTGTTTCACTAGAAATATTTTTTAATTAAAAAAATAGACTTATAATAATAATACTTAGGCAACACTTGGGAATTTACCTGATGGCTTAGAGCCTTTTTTTTTTCTTCTTTTTTGAGGGATTGGTGAAAAGAGGCGAGAGAAACGATATCTGATGAGGTGAATGATAACTGTGGCTTTGGTTTCAAGGACAGAGAGGAGTGAAGTGACTATAAAAACCGGAGAGGAGACAGAAGTTGTATCCCAGACTAAGAGTTAAAGTGACGTGTAAAACAACTGCTTAACTTTGCTTCCAGCCACACAACCCAGACCATCACTATGAACAGCTGGCTACTTATGGTTCTGCTCCTGGGTGAGTGGTCGTGACGTTCTTCTGTCTTGTTGATATTTATTATACACTAACTGGTATTTCAGCCTTGCGGGGCCTTCTTGTTCATATATTGGTATTTTGTCTTAGTTCATAAATCAGATCTAACATTTTTTCCTTTGTCTTAGTTGATGAGTAGTTACTTGGATTCCATGTATAAATTTTCATCATATTTTGTACCTACAGGAGCAGCCACAACTGAAGCTGCAAAAAATAATGAGACGATTCCAGGTGGAGGTAAGTAGTTTGTCTTACTTTCTCTAACATGCACGCACAGAAATGTACTCACATATACTAACACACATGAATACACACGACCACACACACATTCACAGGCGCTGTGACGCGACCCCTGCAACCACATATAGGTGAGCACACACACACACACACACACACACACACACACACACACACACACACACACACACAAACATATATATATACACACACACACACACACACTTTTGTAGCTGAGTACACCAAACTTTCTTATGTGTCTTCTAACAGGTGTGAGCTGCGAATCACCCTTCCAGGAGGTGGGAGGACGTTGTCTATATGTTGATGTGTATAACACAGGATCCTGGGACGTGATGCGTAGCAACTGTAGGAGTGTTGGTGGCGACCTGGCCGTGCTGAATGACGCAGAAGTGTACTCCGCCCTCATTCGTTATATACATGGCAGTGGTATGTAGTGTTGATCATTATATATGATACTAATACTGGAAGTGCTAAAGTAAGGTAATGCTAAGAAATGTAATTTTCACAGACAAAAAAAGGAGATCACGTGAGAGTAAAGAAATGTGATTATACTTAGAAAAATGTATACTATATATGTACAAGTCTCCAAATATTGAAAACTTACACCAGTGATTAATAATAATAATAAAAATAATAATAATAATATAAATAATAATAATATAATTTACCGTTGTGTTTCGTTCCATAGGCCACTAAATATTAACAACTTCAAGGTGTGTTCATAACTTTAAGCTTAGTCATATGATTAAAAGTGAACGCAAGAAGACCAAAGTACACAAAAGTATAAATAGAGAAAATGTATGGTAGTTACTTCTGCAGGTACCAAATATAGTATAGTAGTAGTAGTTATACCAGTAAGGATAATAACTGTCTTGTAACTGGATTTTCCATGACCAGATGTGGGCTGTATCTATACTTGACTGAGGAAGATATACAGTATTTCGCGGCTTATAAGACGCGGCTTTCAAGATTTGTTTTAGCTTCAATGGCTCAGCATCGGACGTAACTGGGAGAGCTACAACCCACCCCACACCCCAAACTTATAGCTCCCGTCACTGACCTTCAGTTTATAAGACGCAGGGTGGATTTAGAGACATTTTATGGAAAAAATCACGCGTCTAATAAGCCACGTAATACGGTAGATGGTATTTAAAACTGCCAAGGTAGATTTAGGTGGCAGACGCAGACGTCAGAACTTGATAATGAACAAATACAACTCCGATCAACGAGCAGATATTGTGTATCTATGTTTTCTGAAGTATACAGATCCATCTTAATTCATATACAAGAAACAATATCAGTCGATGAATTTACAGATATGTTTACTCACTTACAACTGTACTTCTCCACTGCAGGTTTTCCAGATCTGACTTACTGGATCGGCGCCACAGATGAAGGTCATGAGGGACTGTGGCTGTGGATTGACCAAGAACCAGTACAGTTGGGAACACCGTACTGGGCAAACTATGGTTGTGATAATAACCAAATGCCAACTGGTGAAGATAATCAAAACTGTGCTGTTCTTGACTCAAGCTACCATCTGTATTTCAATGACCTGAATTGTAATAGCAATCATTACTCAGTCTGCGAGCAATAATTTTTATCCCCAGGAATTGTTCATTGCTTTGTTTTATCCTTGAAAGGTACAATGATTTGTGAGGGTACATTAAAAAATAACATTGTCTGGGTTTTATAAGATATAAAAATAATGCTCTCTAATGAACAATGAACAATAGTTTGAATTCTTTCTTTTTTATTTCTTGTTCTCCTTTATACACAAATAACCCGCACATAAAAGAGAGAAGCTTACGACGACGTTTCGGTCCGTCACGGTATTGTGCCTTTGTTATTTTCCTTTATAACTTGATAACGCTACTTGCAACCGACTTAAAATCATTTCTGATGTTGTACTGTAATTAAATAAAGATTCTTGTAACTATTAACATGGGTGTATGTGTTCACTGGTCAATAAAAAATAGACAATTTGGTTTCTCTGCGATAACTTCAGAAAACCTATTCAGATTTGCTTCATTCCTTCAATACTATTGCTTCCTATTTAAATAAAGGTTGGGATTGTTATTAGAGTATAAGCACTAACTTATACTTTTTGTGGGAAAATAATTTGACTGACTCATTGGATGGCTTCAGTAGTTACTGAGTGTTACGTCGTATGAGGTGGATGATATATGTTTAGATAAGAGAAAATTGACAATATGCTTTCACAGAAACGTTGCATTATGTGTAGTACCTAGTGAATGTCTTATTTGCTCGGCTTCAAACTTTTAGACTGGGTGAGTTTTGCTTTATTGAGCTGAACAAGTCAATGTTTGTCCATTTTATTATTCAAATTCAAATTCAAAGTTTATTCTCTATAAGGATTACAATGCTGAGTTTACAGAAATTTGGTTATTGTTTGGCTTAACATGTAGTAAAATTGAGATTACAGAGTGTACCACTAGAACGCTTAGCATGGCTAGGCATTTCGGGCATACTTAGTTTTATTCTTAAATGTAAAATATTACAAATTATGAGGTAAGTTGGTATTATGGCTAAGTGACTAAATACTATTTTGTGAGTTTAGCAGTGTGAATGCTTTTGTTTTGGCACAGTATATAGTTTCAGTATTGGAGTATCACAGGATTCATTATATTAAGAATGAGATTAATATTTCTGTTTATGGTCAAATGAGTGTGCGAGTGTAAGTGTGAACCACCAGGTGGTATTCGTGAAGTTAGTTGACGGGGTGTATCAGGGAGATAAGATGTTTTCTAATGGTAGTTTTGAAGGTGATGAATGTGTCTGCATTTCTAGAGTTCTCAGGTAGGGTATTCCAGATTTTAGGGCCTTTGACATACATTGAATTTTTGTAAAGGTTTAGTCGGACACGGGGAATGTCGTAGAGATGTTTGTTTCTGGTGTTATGCCTGTGGGTTCTGTCACAACTATGAAGAAAGCGTTTAAGGTCAAGGTTGATATTAGAGTTTAAGGCCCTGTAGATATAGATTGCACAGTAGTAAGTGTGGATGTACTGAACTGGGAGTAAGTTTAGATCTTTGAAGAGTGGGGAGGTGTGCTGCCAGGGATGGGATTTAGTGATTATTCTTACTGCAGCTTTTTGTTGGGTTATTATTGGCTTTAGGTGTGTTGCTGCTGTTGATCCCCAAGCACAAATAGCATAGGTGAGGTATGGATAAATAAGTGAGTGGTATAGTGTGAGAAGGGCATTTTGCGGCACTTAGTATCGTATCTTGGAGAGGATCCCAACCGTTTTGGATACTTTTTTGGCTATATGCTGGATATGGGTGCTGAAATTCAGGTTATTGTCAAGGTATAAGCCTAAGAATTTTCCCCCATTATTTCTGGTAATTAGAGTGTTGTCAATCTTAATGTTAATTTGTGCATCTCCTGCTCTGCTACCAAACATAATATAGTAAGTTTTGTCAGTGTTAAGCGTAAGTTTGTTGGCTGTCATCCAAGTCGATATTTTAATCAGCTCCTCATTCACAATGGTGTTAAGGGTGGCAAGATTAGGGTGAGAGATGACATAAGTCGTGTCATCAGCAAAGAGAATGGGTTTTAGGTGTTGGGATACGTTTGGTAGGTCATTGATGTATATGAGGAAGAGCAGGGGACCAAGGACACTTCCCTGCGGAACTCCAGTATCAAGTGGCCGTGTTGCTGATGCTGTGTCTTTAATGGTGACGTACTGATTGTAAGATTTGAAATAAGCAAGCGCATGGCCTCTTATACCGTAGTGGTCAAGTTTGTGGAGTAGGATTTCGTGGTTTACTGTGTCAAAAGCTTTTCTTAGGTCAATAAAAATTCCTAGTGGATATTCCTTATTTTCCAGTGCTGTGTAAAGCAGATCTAGCATTTTTATGATTGCATCATTAGTGCTTTTATTTTTCCTGAATCCAAACTGGCAGGGGTTGAGTATGTTTTGAGCCGTTATAAATGAATACAGTCTCCTGTGCACAAGTTTCTCAAAGATTTTGGATAGCAATGGTAAGTTAGATATTGGCCTATAGTTGTTTAAGTCTGTAGGGTCACCACCTTTATGTATTGGTGTAACCCTTGCCATCTTGAGTAGTTTCGGGAAGGTGCTAGTCTCTATTGACTTGTTAAAAAGTAATGAAATAGCATGCGAAAGGACATGGGCCGCTCGCTTGTACAGTAATGGTGGGACATGAGACAGATTCCCCGAGTTATTTTTAAGTGACTTTATGATCTCAATGACTTCCGTGGGCTCAGTTGGTGCAAGATAGAAGGAATTAGGGAAATTTCCATCTAGGTAGTCCCCGGCATGGGCATTGGTATGTGCGATTTTACTGGCGAGATTAGATCCTATGTTTGAGAAGAAGTCGTTTATCTTGTTAGCTGTGTCAGTGGGATGTAGTGGTGTTTCATTAGGTTTAGTTAGGACAATATTCTTGGTTTTTCTCAGTTTGTGGGTCCCTAGAATCTGAGAGAGTGTTTTCCAGGTCTTTTTTATATCTCCTCTAGTGTCTGTGAATCTACTGGAGTAGTATAGTTGTTTGGCTTTTTTTATTACTTTGGTGAGAACTGATGAATAGTGTTTAAGAATATCTTTGTGTATTAAGCCCTGTCTATATTGCTATATTGCATTACATTATTATTATTATTATAATCAAGGGGGAAGCGCTAAACCCGGAGGATTATACAGCGCCTGGGGGGGGGATGTGGAAGGCATTCAGGCTTAATTCGGGGAACTGGAGCACAGATCCAATTCCCTAAATCAAGAGCCCCTCATCAACATCAAGGAACCTTCCTTGAGGGGCCATTTTATTACAGAAACTCTGACATTTATTAAATATCAATAACTGAAGAATGTCTCTTCTGATCGACTTCAAATCGTTTATGCTGATGTATTTTGAGATGAAAGATATATTCAGGCTGCATAGGTTATATTTACCCATATACTAAAATAAATAAATAAAACTTGAATCACTATTCTTTTACTTGATTAATGCCACTTCCGATCGGCATCAAACTTTCAACCTTAGTCTTTACTCTTTAGAGCAGGAAAACATCTGCTAATGTTATATTTTTGGATTATCGTATTTACTCATCTGGATCACCAAGAAATCGGGCTATAAAAACGAAAAAAAATAGACCTTCGAAATACTTCGATCTAACTACATATACATTTTTCGTATTTCTCTTTAAATATTTAGGAAATTTTAAGTTTTACCTTAAACCTTCAAAAAAAATAGTAAATTTTAGGCTAACTTTAAAATGTTGATTATTTAGTTACAGTGATATGAGCTACTGTGTCCAATTATAAGATATTATCTTGCCTAAGGTTCATTAGTATCAGTCTAACGGGTTCCGTATTATAAACGTAAGAAAATCCCTTCAGAAAAGTAACATAATTGTCACTGTAAACATTGACATTTCTAATCTGCATAACTCTAATGGAATCTCCAAAAAATCCCTAAGGATCGCTGAAGATTACATTTGTCAACGAATGTTTCGTTTGAGGTTTGAAAACGTGGGTTTCTAACTAGTCTTGGGATGCTTAATTAATTTCCAACTTAGTTTTGCTCTACTATCAACAGTTTCAGGGAAACAGAACTTGAGCCTCACTTCAATTATTTGTCCACTATATTATTGGTTGCTGAGTGCTTGGTTAGTTTTTGGAAGATGATTATGATTGTATTCTTGTTTGTGTGGATTTATGAGGTCGTTTTATTACTAATTTATTGTGTTTTCTCTTTTACAAAGTGGAATTTTAAATTGTCAAGTTATAAATAATCCTTCACTAGTTCGTGGTCGCTGAAACAACTATACTGATCTTTGTGTCATATGTGGCACCTTGACTCTGGCAAACCTGAGACAAAACATCACGCCTCTTGTGAAATTAATATATTTTCACTTCTTTGGTGTGAGTAGTTTGATGGAAGTTATGCATGTCATTTGTAGTCCCGAGGGAATGAAGGGAGCCAAGAGATTACACCAGGTTCATTCATAAACAAATCCAAAATATCATATCAAGATTTACTTTCTTCAATTAGATATAGTCGCCCTCGATTTATGCTTCCCAGCATACATAAGGGAGATTACCAATAGATCCCTGGCTGTCTTCAAGAAGGCACTGGACAGGCACCTAAAGTCAGTACCTGACCAACCTGGCTGTGGTTCGTACGTCAGTTGCGTGAGGTCATCAGTAACAGCCTTGCTGATCAGATCCTGATCCACCAACAGGCCTGGTTTAAACCGAGCCGCGGAACCACCTGGCATAGTTACTATGATCGAGGGACAAGCACCTTGGCACAAAAGCTGTCACATTGTCAATGTACAGTGCGAAGTTCCGTTCCCGTAGAAACTGTACATATCATAGTACCAGCAATTCCAGATGCTTGGCAATATATCAGAATTGGAACTTTGTTGCTTCCTCTTGTTACACCAATCAGTGAACGACTGGTGTTGCTCACCTTCATCCATCCCTGACATGAAGTTTTGATATCCTTTTCGTAATAGGATACTGAATGCACAAACTGTGATCTGGTGTGCATACCGTGTTCTGATAATCATTCCTTGATAAAGGACTCTGCACTTTCAAGACTTGGTACTTCAGCAAGTGCCAGAACTTCTGTCCTTCTCCGAGTACTCAAGTCAGTCACCCACAATCCACGGAGCGGCCATCTCTTAATGTAATCCACTAAGTAAGCTTACACATTTATCGTCACCATCTGACTCAGGATAAGTTCACTGAATTTGCTTTCCAAGCAAAACAGTGGTTGCTCTAGGGTAATGATCAATACCTATCCAGCATTAAGCATGTTAATAGCATATTTAATGATATTCTTTGCATAACGACTTATTTATGGAGATTTGGAATCTTCAGGAAAGAATGGAAACAAATATGAGATTCCTTGAAAAAGATCCTGCTCATTCATTTGTGAATCATTATGTGCAGCCCACGAGATATTCTCCTCTGGTTCATTCATGTATGGTCCAAACAGA